CTGTAACATGCAAATCAACGGATGCAGCAAAACTTACTGGAATCTGGCCTTTGTTGTTTCCAAACGTAATTTTATCGAAGTTAACTACACACTTCCTGGGTAGTAAATAGTCCAATCCTAATATGCATTGGTCTTCAATGTCAGCCAAGTATACTTTCTGTCTGTTCTTCATGCCCATGAGCTCAATAGTTACCCACACTGGTCCCCACAACCATGTATAGTGTCCTGTCAAACCACAGAGCTTCTGTACAGCTTCTGGTATTCCTTTGTGATCCAGCACCTTGATAGTCACAAGGGTTTGCTGAGATGCAGAATCTATGACAAAGTTGCACCTTCGGCCATCCAGCTTCCCTGTCACGTAGACACTATGTGTGCTTGCCATTTTACACTTTCATGATAGGGGTTGGTGGGCGTCCCTCAGCACCAACCACTACTGGTTTCCCGAAGCTGACTTATTGGTGGTATTTTCTTACACTGGCTCCTCATATGTCCTTACTCTCCACAGTTCCAACAACCTTTCTAGGTAGCAACCTTTCCTGCTGTAGCATCTACCCTGTGTTGAAGTTGCCAGCATTGAGCTCTCTTGTGCCCAGGTTTGTTACAGTGCCAGCAAAGTCCTTCAAACCTCTCTGAAAGCTGCCCTTTTCTGGCTTTGAATCCTGATGACTGTACCAACCTTGGTACCTCTGTGCTGGACTTAACGTAGGATTCAAATTCAAGAGTTCTGGCCATTGCATCCTGCATAGTAAAGGGGTGTGCTTGCTTCATTTGTATCTTTAGTTGTGGACTGTCCAAGGCGTCTACAAACTGATCTCTCAGCAACAACTTGAGGAGATCGGGTGGTGCAGTTGGGTAGGCCTTGAGTGCCATACTTTCCAGGTCCTGTGCCAGCTTTTGCAGGCTCTCCCCTTTATCACGGACTCTAGTCCTAAACCTAGCCCTGTAGATTTCGAACTGACTTTGAGTTCCATACCTGAGTTCTAGAGCAGCTACCAGTGCTCTATAGTTGTGCCTGGCGTCTGCTGACAACTGTCCAAGTATTTCCAGTGGTTGTCCCTTCAGGGTCGTTGCCAGGTACACTGCTTTCTGCTTCTCTGTCCATCCATTCATTTCTACCAGTAGCTCAAATTGTGCTCTATATGCTTTCCACAGTGCCTTCCCATCGAATTCCTGTGGCTTCCTTCATACTGGATCACCCCTATTGCTGACATTCATATCTGGGATGTGACTTCTGACAGGACTGAAGATGTCTACATTAGGGTTTAGCTGCGGGGTCTGGAAGGAGCTTCCCATTGTCCGAGGCTGATAAGGTCGATGGCTAATATATCATCCTTGTGTAAAAGACCTTTAATGTATTTAATTCGCATTGAAATTTACTAATGTTTTTCATTTGTGTACTCTGGCTTTCTCTCAATTGTCGGAGACTTTATTCTTGTTTATTTTCTTTCTCTTCCATCCACTGCTGTAGTCTCTCTTTTTGTTCATTTTCTTTCTCCTCCAACCACTGCTGTAGTCTCCCTTCTTATTTATTTTCTTTCTCCTCCAATAGCTGTTGTAATCTCTCTTCTTGTTTCTTTTCTTTTTCCTCCAACAACTGCTGTAATCTCTCTTGTTTATTTTGCTGTTCGAGCTGCCACTGTTGCAGGTTTTCTTGCAACTGCTGTTGTCTCTCTTCTTGTTTATTTTCTTGTTCTTCTTGTTTCTTTTGCTGTTCTTGTATTGCTGCCATCAAGTCTGCTAAGCTGTAGTTTGATTTGCCGCTTCTCGTTTCCATCTTCTTTTTTCTTTTTTTTTTGTCCCCCTCTCTGACATCAATTTGTTACGTCTCTGGTCGTTTGCTAAT